GGCCATAGTGTCAGTCGTCTCCTCCTGCTTCAGAGATGGTCATACCCGGCTGTGGTGCACGTGCCTTTAGCTTCGCGTTTCCTCGCTCTGGGAGCTGCAAGGCAGGTGGGGATTATGCCACGAGGTTCTCTGGTCTCAGGGACTGAGAGAGATACGAACTGTGGCTGGGCCGGACAACGGGCTGGGCTGGCCATCTCAAAGTCAGAACGGAGCAGCGTGGTCAGGTGTTAAAAGTAGACCCAGGGCCCTGACCCGTGTGGCTTGGTGGGTTGGGTGCCGTCCCACAAAGCAAAAGGTCGTCAGTTTGATTCCCGGTCAGGGCACATTCCTGGGTTGCGTGTTTGATCCCCGGCTGGGGCGCATATGAGAGGCAGCCGATCAGTGTTTCTCTCCCTCTCTTTCTCCCTCCCTTCCCCTCTCTCTAAAAATAAATAAATACACTCTTAAATTTTAAAAAAAAGTACACCCAGAGTGAGTCAGGTAACCCTTACAAGGCCTGGTCTTTGTTTGCAAAATGAGTTTGGGTGAAAATCTGGGTCATAAGTTACAGAGATAGCATTAGTGATTCAAGAGGGAAGGCTTGACATATTCAATAATTAGAGCTGGGATGCTTGCCTTTCCATACGGGGTGCGGCGGGGGGGGGGGAATTGGATCCCTACCTTCTACCATAGACCAAAAAAGTTTCCAATACAGATCCTCAGGTCTCGCGCTGGGCCTCCTGGGACTGGAGCTTCCTCGCTTTTAAGCCCCTTCGCACACCATTTAGAAACTCGCCCCCCGCTCCGCCCCGGTCCAGTCTGCTCACTCCCTGGGTACGGGAGAACGGGGGCTCCAGCTGATTTCGTCATTCAATCATTTGCACCCAGCATGGCCCCTAGAACATATTATGAACCCAGAAAGTGTTTGTTGAGTGAAAACACAACTTCAAGGATTCTAAAAAAGAATTTCCAAAAGAGACTATACGTTTTTCTCTGGCTGTCATTAATAACAGAATAAGTTGTCATGTCCCCAAAATTCCCCGGGGGGAGGGGGACAGTGCGGGCCTGCCTGCCTGAAAGCAGGAGCGACGGTAGTGAGAACAGCCTGGCTCTCCTCGGAATCTAATTTAAAGACAGTTGCAAATATCACACATACCTTGAGAGAAACTAAGCCCACCCCAAGATATTATTAAGCCATATTTTAACCATGGGCGTGATGAGTCTTTTTTCACTTATTAAGAGCCTACTTTGTGTAGAAACACAATCTTTCTAACACAGGTTTGTTTCCCCTCTTCTGTGTTTATTAAGACATAACTCACATGCAACAGACTTCCCCCATGTTTAGTGTACAGGCTGACGAATTGTGGCATTTGTGTGCAAGACGCAGCCACCACCATGGTCAAGACACAGAAGGGCTCTCAAATCCTGGGGTTCTCTCCTCTGCCCCTTTTATTCCACCCTCTCCTGCCGCCTCCAGCCGCACGTGGCAGCTGATCAGCTTCGTGTCTAACACTTTCTTAAAGTAATATAATCACACTTGTAGAGTCAGGAGTTTTTAAATAATGCTTTGGCCAAAGGGTATAAAAGCAGAGAGGGGCGGAAGGAGAGAGAAGGAAATCGGCAGCCCGCCTAGCTGGGCTGCAGACCCCGGTCTGGGTGAGGCTTCCCTGGGCACTAGGGCCTGGGCACTGAGAGCCAGGGCTGGAGGCCACAGGAGCGCGAGCAGAGCCTTCCCAGACGGGCTCTCCAAGGGGTTTGTACAAATAACACGGCAAGACGTGTTTGGGATGTCAGGACAAGAACGCAAGGGCTGACATACACCGTGTGGGTATGAATCTGACCACTGGGTTTCTGAATACAGATCTAGAGGCAAATTTTGAATTTATTTATTTATTTATTTTTAGAGGGGAAGGGAGGGAGAGAGAGAGGGAGAAAAACATCAATGCGAGAGAGAAACATCAATTGGTTGCCTCTCGTATATGCCCCCAACCGGGGACTGAGCCTGCAACCCGGGTATGTGTTCTGACCGGGAACTGAACTGGTGGCCTTTCGCTTTGCAGGCTGATGCCCAGCCAACTGAGCCACACCCATCAGGGCTTGACTCATTTTTTCATTCGCCGTCTTAAAGAACCCTTGGTCCTTTTGATCGATCTCAGAAGAAATAGCTACACTCCTTGAAGATGAAGTGTTTGAGTGAATAAATTTCTGCCTCAGAGGATGTTTTCTCTCTCTCTGAGGGTATTAATGGAAAAGCTCAGAGTCCCTGGTTCCCACCCGGATTTACTAGCCCCAGCTGCGGTACAGGGACAGTGGTGTGTCTGAGACACGCCATGCGTCAAAGACAAGGAGGTTCACGTTCTAGTTTTTTATGGGGCTGTTGGGAGGCTTCTGGCTCCTGCCTCCACGTGGGCACCAGGCACTGTCCCCGTCCTGCGGATACCACTGAATTAAGCAAGGTCCTGCTGCATTCCTGCAGGAAGAACATGGGATGTGAACCCACATGAACAAATAGCAGGGCACTCTGAGTCGGAAACTAGAGCGGGGATGGACAGACAGGAAGTGCTGGACGACCGGGTGGGGGTGGGAGGAGCATTTTATGTGGCTGGTCAGTAAAGGCCTCTCGGAGGAGGTAACTTTTGAGCTGAGGCTGGAATGACAAGGACCCAGCTCTCTCTAGAGAAAGCATTTTAGGAATCAGGACCAGCATGTGCAGAGCCACTGAGGTGAGAAAGGGGTTGGCACATTCAAGAAACAAGGCAAAGGTGGCCACGTACAGTGACCAAGGAGAGAGGGGTGTATGCTGAGGTTGGAGGTAAGAAATCTTGCTCTGGAAATGCACATCTATGCCGTCTGGGAAACAAAGTCGCATGGGCCACTGTGCTGGTGCCCTGGCGCTCTGACATGTCACTGCTAGGCAGTAGCTGGCAACGCTTGCACTTGCAAAGCCACTTCTTACTTACTTGGCTACTGATCATCGACTCTGAGCTGGCGGGGATGGAGCGGTGTTCTAGCCCAACCCCCTCATTTGACAAATGAAGGAACCTAGAGTTCGTGCCTGATGGGGGATCCTTTGCCTTTAACTGAAAATAAACTGGGGGAAAGGTTTGCAGTCCATTATCACAGTTGAGGGTTCAGTTCCCTCATTTGCTTTCCGTGCTCACTGGAGCCGAGAGAGCGAGGGGGAGGGGTGCAAGGAGAGATTGGCTGAATTCCAGATATTCGGCCTCCACGACTGCTAGGCTCTGGGGACACAGGAGCACTCCTCCACGGTGTGGGAGCTCCGCTCTGGTCCTGGCTAGAAGTTCTGGTAAAGTTACAGCACATGGCTCGTCAACTCCTGGAAGGAACCCAGACGGCACTCAGCAGGTGCATGCATCAATCACCTGTGGTCTAGCCAGGCAGTGGGATACTACGGAGCAATAAAAAGGAACAAACTACTGATCCATGCAATACCATGGATGAATCTCACCGCCATGCTGAGCAAAGGAGCCAGGTGCCAAAGAGAGTCTTTTGTTAGATTCTGTTTATATAAAGGTCTAAATCTGGCAAAACTAAGTGACAGTGTTCTGGGGTCTGGGGTGAAGGTTGACTGTAAGGGATGCCACAGGAACTTAGAGGGGTGATCTCATGTATGTATATTTGTCAGAACTCTGAAAATGAGTGGGTCTTTCTTAATGTATGTAAATTAGAGCTCACTGAAGTGGATTAAGTGCATACAATTTTTAAAGGAAAGGGAAAGCAACAGCTGGAAAAAGAAGAGAAGCTTTAGGGTGGGTTGCTGTTCGTAGGCTAGATGTCTGCTGAGCGCCTTCCGGGAACAGGTGCTAGGACACGCATTGGCCATCTCTTCGCTGCAGAGCACGATGGGACAGGGGCACCAGCTGCAGCCCTGCGGGCCTCTGTGAGCCCCTGGGTTCCCTCCGCGGGACCTGCCTGCGGGCCATCGTCCCTCCATGCGCCGCTCCCCGGCCGTCAGCCTCCCGGAGCCCCGCAGTCAGGACTCGTCAGGGAAGGGTGGCCGCCTCCCAGGAGAAACACGGTTCTTCCCTGCTAGTCTGAGAAGACTTAAAGGTCAATAAAGCAGAGGGAGCGGGAGAGAGCGTGTGCTTGTTCCTGAGTCAGGGCTCCGTCCTGAGCGGAGCACACCCCTCTGTTCAGTAACCAACCCCCGTCTCCCTGGATTGGTCTTGTTTGCTTGCTCAGGTCGTGCGGCTGAACCCCAGCCTGAGGTATTAGCATTAATTTGCTCTAACTTTTCCAAGTTTGTTGACATAATGTATTTATATCTAATTTCTGTAAAAGTTTTCCTACCCTCCACTACTGTATGAATGTGTATGAGTGTATGTATGTATACATGTATGTACACATGCATGCACTGGGCATGTGAAGCACCCCGAGCAGGAGACAGCTGCTCTTTGCAGATAAACGTGTTTGTAGTGTCTGTGTGTGGACTTTGATCTGCAGTCATATTGAGAAGAAATGTGGTAGTTTCTCTGATTGCTCTTTAATGCTATTTAATACAGACAGGGTATCTGAAAACATATAGCTTAAGACATATAGGACATGATATAGCGTTTTTAATTTTTAGAAAACCGAATAAACCAAACGAAACACACATCAACGCTCAGCTTGCAATGGCCCGATTCTTCCCCATTGATAAGGACAGTACTGTTGCCCTCGCTGGTGTGGCTCAGTGGACTGAGCGCTGGTGTGTGAACCAAAGGGTCACTGGTTCAATGCCCAGTCAGGGCACATGCCTGGGTTGCAGGCTAGGGCCCCAGTAGGGGGTGTGTGAGAGGCAACCACACATTGATGTTTCTCTCCCTCCTTTCTCCTCTAAACATTAAAAAAAATAATAATAAAGCACTGTTGTTTTATTCCATCCCCCTTCTTAAGCTGGGGAAGAGGAACAAAGTCGTTGAAGACGAGAGGGTATCCTCCCAAGACCAACTCAGGGGAAGACAGCAGGTCTGCAGAACTGAGTCACCCTGCTCACTGCATTTTTCCCCTTCCTTCCAAAGGTTTTGAGATTGGTCTGCCCCACGGAAGTGGCATAACAGTCTTGATAAAGCTTGGGACCCCGCTTCTGCCTGGGAAGCCCTGTTACATCTTTAATGGGAAATTTTCAACCACATTGCTCATCAAACCTGGAGAAACAAAGCGCTTTTCCTTCAGCTGCCTGAGTCCAGAGAACTACTTTGTCGTTGAGATCCAGAAGAACATAGGTAAGTACGCCCTCGTGGGTGGCTTGGCCACCAGCCTCCGAGGCTGGGGAAGGTAAGATCTAATTTGAAACTGCACTTTATTCAGCTCTTTATGTGTTTTATGTAGGTTAAGTCGTTAAATCCCGCCAACAGGCCTAGGAGAGGTTCCCAAAGAAAGTGACTTGCCTGAGAGGGCACAGCCAGTAAGTGGCAGCAGGACCGGAACCCAGGTTCTCGGGCTCCAGAGTCTGGGCCTGTGACTCCTGAGCCACGCTGTCTCTGAACAGAGCTTTAAGTCTTCAGGTCTGTGATGCTCAGTCTGATGTGCTAAACACGCCCGGCTGATGACAGGCAAAAGTCAAAGGATTGGAGGACAAAAGAAATGAAGGTTGAGGAGGTAAGAGTAGAGAAATGAGCCCGTGAAGCACAAAGCAACACAGCAGCTTCAGAGGCTGAGGGAGCTGGGTTTTGGCTTCACGCTCCAGGGCTACTGATCATGTGACTTCATATAAGTTACTTAACTCTTTTGTGACATAGTTTTCTAGTCTATAAAATAAGAGCCATTGTACCAACCAATAGGGTTGTTACGAGGATGAAATAAAATAATGAGTTGAGTGTGTATGATATATGAGAATTCAACAAACTATAGGTATTTGGTATTATTATTATTATCATTCAGAACTTGAGCTTGGGGTAGGAGATTGACATAGAAATATGTCAATCAGTGGACTGAGCGCCGGCCTGCAGACCAAAAGGTCGCTGGTTTGATTCCCAGTCAGGGCACTAGTGGGGGTGTGTGAGAGGCTACTGATCAATATTTCTTTTGTACATCGATGTTTGTCTTCCTCTCTTTCTCCCTCCTTTCCATTCTAAAAATAAATAAATAAAATCTTTTTTTAAAAAAAAGAAAGAATAATCGGGCAGAAAACAACAAAGCTATTATTTCCCAGTTGCTTGGAGGTGGGCATGCCAGCTAGACACTAACAGAGGTAGTGACAACAGAGAGAACGCTTTGTGATCCAGTCAAAGCCATACTCAGAAGATTCCTTCACCTTTAACTGAAAATAAATGAATCAGGTAAGAAGAAAAAGGATAAAAGAAACCCTAGGAGGAAGGAATTCAGAAAAATAAAAGGAGAAATTAAAAGTCCTTAAAAGCGGTTATAAAACTACATTTGATAACTAAAACCAAGACCTGGTTTTTGACAAAGGCCAATTACATAGACAAATCTCTGGCTCGTCTCCTAGAAAAGAAAGAGAAAATACATATATGCAGCATTGAAAGTAGAAATGCAGACTTAATGACAGATACAAAGGCAACTTCTAAAATTGCAAGAGATTACAACATTATGCTACTCAGTGTGAATTCCTGAATGACATGATGATTTTCAGGAAAATCTTAACAGGCCAAGCTGACTTATAAAAAGGCCGGAAACCTGAATGAATAAATAATAATGGAAGAGATTTGGAAAATGTCCAAGATGGAGGAGAGCAGGGATTGGGTTAGTTAGAGATGGTTTCATAGAGGATCCTGTAAAACCTGAAGGAGCAAATCATTTCCATGATATTTACACCATTGGGGGGGGGGGGCAGGCTTTTTTATGTGAAAGTCCAGATGGTAAGTATCTGAGCCCAGATGGTCGCTGTCATGACGACGCAGCTGTGCTGTACAGCACACAGTCAACCATGGATAATAGGGAAGCGAATAGGCAGCGAAAGTTCCAGTGAAACTTTCTTTATAATAACAGGTGTTTGGCTGGATAGATCTCACGAGATGTAGCTTGCCGATTCCCATTCTGAGCACAGAAAGAGACGTTTCATAGCTCGTTTTATATGGTTCTTACAACCCTGATGTCAAAATCTGTCAAAGGATTAAAAAATAAACAACAACAACAAAAAAACATAGACCAGCCTGTGATGACTATACATGTAAAAACCAAATCCTAAGTATAAGGATATCAAGTCCAAAAAATGCATGAAAAGAATAAAGCAACAAGAACAGGGAGACTGGAAGACTGGAAGGATCGTCCTGAGAGAAAAAAACTTATATGATCAGCTTAGTAGGTATTATACGTGTTTTTAATGCAACATTCTTAGTAAATCAGAAATAGAAGGGTGTTTTCTTAATCCAATAAAGTATATCTGCCAAAACCTGATAGCAAATACCACCTTCAACTCTCTGCCAGAGAGGCGTTGCCGGTAACACAGGAAATGACAGAAGGGCTCCCACCTTGCTTGCTGTTGGCCACCATTGTTCCCACCTTTAACCAGAAGTCCTAGTTAAATAAACATTTAGGGATCGTCTTAATAGCCACATAGGATGTATATAAAGTAAAATAGAAACTTTTACTGAAAGACAAAACAGAAGACATACGTAAATGGAGAGGCGGACCATGTTCCTTGATGAAAATCTCAGTACTTTTTAAATGTCAGTTCTCCCCCCAAATTAATCGGTCAGTTTGAGTCGAGCACAATCAGCCTCTCAGTGAAGGTTCTTCAGCGCCGAGGAGAATATTGATCTACGTGAGGGTTCAATGGAACGCTGTGCTGCTCTTAAAAGAGAGGAATAAATCTGCCTCTCTGACATGGAAAGAGAGTTTTATTTTATTGAAAACAGCACAGCTTCTAGTAGGAAAACAGCTCAACCCCACTTTATTAAATACACACATTTGCAGATAGGCTAACGTAATCATACAGAGCGCAAAGTTTAGAGCGCTAAACACCAGAACGTTAGCCTTACAGTATTTCTGTAGTGGGCAGAGGAGGGGAACAGCGACATTCATTTTCTTCTTTCTGTTCCTCCATGTTGTCATTTTTTTTTTTTACAAGCACGCATGACTTTATAATCATTTCAACCAATAAAGTGACTGCCCTTTTGGAAAAAGAAATCGGTTAATGTAATGCTTTGCACTAACCAGTGAGAGAGAAAAACTACCTATGATCATCTTAACAGATAATCATCCCACAGTGAAGTGTTTGACTGCATCAGCCTCTGAGGCCCAGGATGCTACCCGGTTTACAGTCAAAACCTATGCTCACAATTTTTGAAAATGATACAAAGATATGCACTTCTGAAATAGTACATCCAGTCCCGTGTCCTGCCTGCCCCTCATTTTAGAAACGTGTCCTGAGTAAGCATTCTGAGTTTCAAAGTTTGAGATCTCTTGTTACCCTTTCTTGAGTAGTGCCATTAAAGTTCATGACGGTAGAAGTCTGCGCAGGGGGCATGGGAGTTGTGAATCACTTCTGGAAGGACACTTCTCCATCCCCTACGTGGGAATCTTTAGTTATTTAACATTTTGGCCGTGGACGGAGAACGGAGACTTGGAGGTGTGCCGGTCATTGTGACTGCTCCTTCGTGGGCATCCATCCTCCCAACTGAAGCTCTTAGCAACAAAGAGAAAAGTGCTTTCACACCCCGACTCTCCCCGCGTCCGCGGCGGCCAAGGAGCCGTGGCTGAGGGGCGGAGCCTCGGGACTCCAGGTTCTTATATAGAATTAAACCATAATCTCTCAAACGACGCGGGGATGTGTATTTTTTACACGTTTTCCACGTGAGTCTGATGGGGAGCGAGGGCCGGGGAGCACTGCCTCAGCGGGGTGAAGCGATCCCACAGGCGTGCAGGACCCAACAGGAGCGGCTCCCCGTGGCCCTGGGCACGCTGGAGCTGTAGATGGAAAGTTTACAAAGCCAGCTTTTAAAAGAAAGAAAGAAAGGTGGCTTGACGTAAACAATGAAGTTTGCAAGAGCTCCTAAAAATAGGTACTGACCTTACTGACACACAGAATCTAATTTTAGCCACATTTGTCAACCTTGTTATCTAAGGCTGTTTTATGGGTTAGGTGACGCAGCGCGTTGGCAAGGACACGGCTGAGCAGACGCAGCCGGGGCCTCTGTCCTGGGGTTGTGCGAACTGCAAGCGCGGTGCTCACCTGCGGACGCCGGGGCTCTTTTGCAAAAAAGGAGAGGTTTGGTGTGGGTGACCTCAGACGTCCAGTTCTGAAATTCTCCCATAGTTCCAGTCTGAGTTGGCAGTAGTTCTTTTTTAATTGATTTGAGAGAGAGACAGGGAGAGAAACATCCATTTGTCGCTCCACTTATTTATGTACTCATTGGTGGATTCTTATCCGTGCCCCGACTGGAGATTGAACCAGCAACCTTGGCATATTGGGCGACACTCTAACCAGCTGAGCTACCCGTCTAGGGCTGGCAGGACCTTCCAATAAATACCCAACTGGAGCAGCAGCGGAGTTTCGCAGACTTTCACAGCGGCCAGAACCCGTCACTCCCTTCAGATTCCCTGCGCCCGAGAACAAAAGCCTTACTGTTGCGTTGCGTGCACCCTGTTCCTTCTGCTGTGCGCTTCTCTCTTATTCCTCCCTGGCGGCAGCGTTTTTCCCTTTGTTTGAAGGGCTTAGAAAACAAAGTACATCAGAGGATGTCATTAGTTGTTAGCCTTTAAAAAAACCCAATGTGGTAATAAAATAGGAACCTTGAGGCCACAAGGCAGGAAGAAACCGTGCCCCTGGGTTCCAGCCATTAAGGGGCTTGCACCTTCTGAGTGTACTCAGTGTGCTGATGAGTGTGCAGATGGGAAAACCAGTTTTTAAAGGTAGAGCTTGGCACCGCACCCTGAAAGTTGTGAAACTGCGGCTCCCAAAGCACAGCCTCCGTGGCAGAGGACTTACGGGAAGGCCCACCGGCTGACCTGCACTGATCCAGTCTGAAAACACAGGAGTTAGGACGTGTCGTGGGTGTGGTTCCTGGGAACAGAGCCTGCGTTGGGGATTTTGATTCAAGTCATTTGTCAAGAGCGTGCCCTTGAAAGCACCCTGTGAAGAAGTGAGTAAAGCAGAGGGGGGCAAGGGAAGAAGTGAACAAGGATGTGTGGGTTTAGCTGAAGTGTAGCCTCCCCTTGAAGCCTGAAGGTCAGGTGTTTCCACCCCACGACATGAGCCACGAGCCGAGATGGGCCGTGGGCTGCTGCTTCCCGCTGGGATGGGCAGTGAAACCCCTCAGGTTTTTCTGGCCCCAGGAGGCACCACCAGGCACTTAAGCAGAGAACCGGGCATCTGTGTGCTACGGGCCACCGACGCTCGCGTGACCTGGAGGTGGGCGTGCCCACCCAACGGTGCTCCCAGAGAGCCTACTGAAGGGGTAGGGAGGAGCAGTGAGTGGCCCGCTAGTGTTTGTGACCAAGATTGTTTTGTGACTGTTTCAGACTGCATGTCAGGCCCGTGCTTTTTTGGGGAGGTCCAGCTGCAGCCCCCAACATCGGTGTTGCCCCCCCTCAACCGGACGTTCACCTGGGACGTCCAGGCTCACAAGAGAATTGGCCTGGAGCTGCAGTTCTCCCTGCCGCGCCTGCAGCAGATCGAGCCAGGGGACAGCTGCCCAGACGGAGTCACTCACACCATCAGTGGCCGCGTTGACTCCACCACGGTCAAGATTGGAACCTTCTGCAGCAATGGCACTGTGTCCCGGATCAAGATGCTAGAGGGCGTTCAAATAGCCTTACACCTGCCGTGGTTCCACGACAGAAACGTTTCTGGCTTCAGCATCGCAAACCGGTCATCCATAAAACGTGAGCATGCCACGCCCTCCTGTTACTTGCTGAGGTTGAAACATACAAAATCCCCACTTTCTCTAGGTCAGAAAAGACTGGGTGTTGCCAGTTTTGTATGATTCAACCTGAGTAGCTTACAGGGAGCTCCTGCTCTTCTGTGAGGCACACAGGCCACTGACGCCTGGAGTGGACCCACCCTTCTCTGTTAACCTGGGTGGTGACTTCTCTCTGTCCTTTGTGCATGTGAGGTTTGTTTTCAAGAATGAAATGGGATTGATTCTACAGACCTGTTGTAATCTCTCCTTTTATCGTTTCTTTGTCCCGACTTCTTGCTATTTCATTTTCTCCGATGGCATTGGTCACGGGCTCGCGCTGGCTCACACCAGCTCCCTAGAGCTGACTGTTCCATGTGCAGGAAGTTTGTGAGCTGGTGTTAAACAGGGCTGTTCATACAAATAAAATTATATGAATGAACAAGTAAAAAAAAAAAGCTTAGAAACAAAGGTCATAAACACTCAAAACTCACTGCCTCTTTATTTCACTGCATTTTCCCATTGTCTGTGTTCTTGAGGTTGTTTATGCCAATTGCACCGTTAGGCGGCAATCCTGTATGATGATGAGTTGCTGCCCGTCTCTTCCCAAGGCCACGTTCAGTCATCTCACTTCGGTAGCTTGAAATCAGCTATGGTGGGAGTATTTACACCAAGGAAGTGGGCACACCCTACTTATTAGGACTGTTTCCCCCGCTGCTGAGTCAGTTATTAAACACTGATTCGCACACCACCGATGTCTGCTCCTCATACCCTATCCAGACCCGCAGCCCGGGACCTGAGAACCGCCTTCCCCTCTCCTTAGCCCGCTCCTCCATCGTGGACAACCAGGACAGGGTCTAATCGCCTGGCTTGGGTTCCCTTCCCAATAGGACTGTGCATCATCGAATCTGTGTTTGACAGTGAAGGCTCAGCAACCCTGATGTCTGCCAACTACCCGAATGGCTTCCCTGAGGATGAGCTTATGACATGGCAGTTCATCATTCCCCCGCCCCTGCGGGCGAGCGTCTCTTTCCTCCACTTCAATGTCTCCAACTGTGAGAGGAAGGAGGAGCGGGTTGAGTACTACATCCCGGGCTCCACCACCAACCCCGAGGTGTTCAAGCTGGCAGACAAGCAGCCCGGGAACATGGCCGGGAGTTTCAACCTCTCTCTTCAGGGCTGTGACCAAGACGCCCAAAATCCAGGGATCCTCCGGCTCAAGTTTCAAGTTTTGGTCCAATATCCACAAAATGAAAGCAGTAAGTGAGCCTACCTTCCTTTTCCCTCCTGCTCTAGCACTTTCTTCTCTTCCTGGGTAGTCTGCTTGGGGTGAGGTCCCCTTCCTGTTACTCGCCTGTGGCTCCTGGACCGCTTGGACTCTGGGCCCTGGAAGAGTCGCCGGAAGTGCGTTGCTAGGCAGCCAGACAGACTTATTGGCGAACAGCTGGCATGAGCGTTTGTTTGAACACAGTAAGAAGCTGCTGTCATGGGATTAAGTCTGGACCAGGATGGCCGTGGTGGGAGAGCAAAGGTCAAAGTCATATCCAGGATGGCCGGGCAGCACATTGAGGAAGTTACCGTAGCGGGGCTCTCCGTGCCCCGCCCCCCCCCCGCGTGTGAGGGGCCCATCTCCCCATCTCCCTCCCCAGCACCCCATATTGTCAGGCTTTTATGTCGTCCCCTGTCTGATGTAGGGGGAGACATTAACACTTTGTCTATATTTGCTTTTCTCTTACTACAAGTAAAATCACACATTATAACAGAACTCTTCATATTTTGTATATTTGGACATTTATATTTCCTTTTCTGTCAAGTGCTCAGTCATTCCATGTCACAGACACATTCTCCCCTTGTGTCCCTTGTCCCTTAACATTTATGGTGCCTGTTACAGAAAGATGTTTACATTTTTTCTTCTATAATTTGGATTTACTCTGTAGTATATGTATAAGGACATTCTCCTTGTTTCTATTGTGGTGACTGCTTTGAGATACTGGTCTAATTTTATTCTTTTACTAATGGGAAAGATGGTTCTCTTGGCTTAGCCTATGGAATAGGCCGTCTTTTTCTCACTTACTTGAAATGTAGTCTTTGTTAGGGACTATATTATAACATCTGAGGCTTCATCCAGTCTATGAATCTTCTATTCGTACATTAATACCACACTGGTCTTGATTACTATTCATAATAGGAGAGTTTCTGTAAGTGATGATAAATCTCACTTGGTTGACTCTTATGCAGCCGCTAAGATTAATGAATATTTAAAAAGATTAGTGCCTATGAAAACTATAGTAAAATATGTAAAAGGGTATAAAATAGTAAAGCGAAAGCTGAATATAAAATTTTATGTTCACTGGACTTGTAAGTAGGTAAAAATATGCATGTGAACAGGGACAAAAATGAATCTGAAGAGAGGAAAGAGGTTCAATAAGGGGGGGTAGAAATGCACCCACTATTTTTCCTTTTAAATTTCTTCTAAAGTTCTTGTGCTGCTGTCTGAATAAGAACCAAGTGCTCCCAACGCTCCCCACTCCACGGGGTTGCTGCTGGCACGTTTTCACACCTGCCCCCTCCGTGTGCTTCCAGATAGGACCTACGTGGTTGACTTGAGTAACGAGAGGGCCATGTCCCTCACCATCGAGCCGAGACCCAGCAAGCAGAGCCGCAGGTTTGTGCCTGGCTGCTTTGTGTGTCTGGAGTCTCGGACTTGCAGCTCCAACCTCACCCTGACAGCTGGCTTCCAACACAAGATCTCCTTCCTCTGCAATGACCTGACACGCCTGTGGATGAACGCCGAGAAAACCCTAAGTACGCTGCCACTGCTGCCCCCACAGCGCGTGGTGTGCTCCTCCCCGCCCGCGGGCTCCTCTCCCCATCCTGCCCTACCTCTTGGCGGGGTCCACGGGGTAGGCGGTACATAGTATGACCAGAAATGGCCCCCACAGTGCAGGGTGAGCAGGGGCAGCCAAGAGGCAAACCACGAGGTGGAGACGCGCGTCCTTGGGGACCGGCAGCCGCAGTTGGAACATGCGTCCTTCAGAAGGGCACTGTGTGACCCATGTCCACGCTCATGTCTCTGTGCAGACTGCAGCCTCGTCCTAGGCGTAGCTTCCCCCACCCTCCCGGCTGCACGCCCCACGCCCCCACGCTCACTGCCCACTTGTCTTCTCTCACGAGACCCAGAGTCTTAAGGTCAAGACCTTTGACTCATTCCGTTTTTGTACCCCTTTAGCCCCTGTGATGAGTGCTAGCTGAACACGTGCTAGTTACGTAATAAATGCATGATGAGTGGGGGGCAGCCAAACCAACAGTCTCCTCCCTGAGGGGCCCCCATTTTCTCCGACGTGGGTGCCCCAGAGTCTCTGCTGAGGCCACCCCGTTAGGGGGTGGCAGAACTGGAACGTGAGCTGAGATCCCTCCGACTCCACTTCTGGCTGTAGCCAGGGCTAGGCCTGCCTCCCCGTAGGCGGGCGCGCTCGGCAGTGGGCCTGGGCGGAGGCAGACCTGCGCCCTGCCCACACGGCACTTGGCATCTAAGACACAGGCACACGGAGGCGAGAACCAGACAAACAAGAAGTTGGCCTGCCAGTTCAGAAAGAATGTGATAGAGCAGGAGGAGAAGCTAGAAGCCAGAGTGGAGGACAATGGAGGAGGAAAGACCAAAGAGAACGGCCAGAGAGCCGTGGGCAGACTTGAGAGTTGGGAGGATGCTCTTCCCGTCTCCTCCCTGCTTGGGTACCATGAGCCCTTCTTTTCCAGGCTGCATGGACCACCGGTACTGCCTCAGGAGGTCCTACCCCCTCCAGGTGCCAAGGGACATCCTCCAGCTGCCTGTGCAGCTCCATGACTTCTCCTGGAAGCTGCTGGTGCCCAAGGACCGGCTCAGCCTGGCACTGGTGCCAGCCCAGAAGCTGCAGCAGCACACGCAGGAGCGGATCTGCAACACCAGCTTCAGCTACCTGGTGGCCGGCACTGGTCCCGGCCCCGGCCCCGGCCAGGACCTCTACTTTGGTTCCTTCTGCTCTGGAGGCGCCATCCAGCAGATCCAGGTGAAACAGAACATTTCGGTGACCCTGCGCACCTTTGCCCCCAGCTTCCAACAAGATGTCTCCAAGCAGGGCCTGACTGTGTCCTTCATACCCTACTTCAAAGGTAAGGGCATCTTTCACTCTCCCTGTCTCCAGGCCCCTGAGCCTTTCCTGTGTGGGCGTTCATCTTATTTTGCTTTCGTGGTCGCTTTAATCAGCCTGTCAACTGGAAGCAGAGAGAGAGCTGAGTGGGCTGGTTTTCAGACCAGACATTTGAAGGATGGTGGGTCCTGATGCTGCCTTCACCGTTAACCTAGTGTGGAAAATTCCAAGAGGTAGAAATAAGGTCGTGTGACAGTGGGTGCCAGTGGTTGATGGCAGCAAAACAAATGATCGGATTCGAGTCTGTTTTGGAAGCAGGCTGAGCATAAATTAGAGTTAGCCACGTATCCCCACGTCCTGGATTTTGAAGGTGGTAATGTTAAGAACCCTTGCGCAGACATATTTATGATCCTGTTTTCAGAATTCAGGATGTAGTCCAGAGAGCGCTGGGAAGGAATGCTGGGAGAGAGAAGGCTCTAGATAGAACTCAAGGGTCCTATTTTCTTGGGAGGCAACAGTGGTCTTCACTGTCCCAGGCAGGAAATGAGGTCTAAATCGGCCATGAAAGTGAACTCCAGATCTAAGTTTAAAAGTCCTCATCACCATTATAAGTTAATGTGAGAGGCCATTTCAACACTGACCAAGGGCTTGATGTGAGGTTGGCTTCGTTCATTTTGTTTTCGGAGGCCTGAGTGCGAGGGGTAAGAATCTTGGGCCATGAGATTAAGGTCAGTCTAGGTGGTTGGGTAGCTCCAGGACTATCAGAGAAAGGAAAATCTCATCAGCGTGGAACGTGGGGTTTGTCTCACCTGAAGGTAAGGAATAGATTGGTTGACATGTCAAAGGCTCTGCTATGGCCCAGGGGTGTCCAGCCTTTTGGCGTCTCTGCACCACACTGGAAGAAGAGCTGTCCTGGGCCACACATTAAATACATTGCAACATGTAATCACAAGAAAATCTCATAATGTTTTAAGTAAATTTACGATTCTGTGTTGGGCTGCATTCTCAGCCCCCCTGGGCTGCATGCGGCCCATGGGCCACAGGCAGGACACCCCTGTCAGCTATGCAACTCCGGAATTCTTCCCCGAACCGGGTGTGTTTTAACCTCGGAAACAGAGATTGGTATGTGGCCCTCCCACTGTGGGGCACAGAAGAATGTTAGCCACGTGGAGGGCATATCTGAAAGGAAGCAGAGATAACTGCTGACTTGGCACACTGGCCTGTGTTTTGCTTGTTTGTATTCTGGGGGGTTTTTTTGTTTGTTTTTTGTGTTTTATTTTTTGCATAAGACCCAAGCACCTGATTTGACTGAGACTCTAATCCTGCACTGACCAATACAATAGCCATTGGTCACATTGGTGTGGCAATTTAAATGTAAATCAGTAGTAAAGAAAAGTGAAAGTTTAGCTCCATAGTCACACCAAGCACGTGTCATGTCTTCAACAGACATGTGTGGCCATGGCTCCTCAATGGAACGGTGCCGACAAAGAACGCCGCCGCCGTCACAGAGCTCTCGTTGGACAGGCCGCCCTGGGCGGTTGGCCCGTCTCCGGCAGCACGACTTTTTCTCTCTGTTCCGATTGAGTGAAACGTCCGTGTGGCTTCTCTCCCCTTTCCTGCAGAGGAAGGCGTTTTCACAGTGACCCCGGATACGAAAAGCAAGGTCTACATGAGGACCCCTAACTGGGAGCGGGGCCTGCCATCCCTCGCCTCGGTGTCCTGGAACATCAGCGTGCCCAGCGACCAGGTGGCCATCCTGACCTTCTTGAAGGAACGGACCGGCCTGGTCTGCCAGACGGGACGCGCGTTCCTGATTGTCCAGGAACAGCAGTCGGCGACCGAGGAGATCTTCAGCCTGGAGGAGGTGCTGCCCAAGGCGACCCCCCACCACCACAGCTTCTGGGTCAACATCTCCAACTGCAGCCCTGTGAGCGGCAAGCAGCTGGACCTGCTCTTCCAGGTGTCACTTACCCCGAGAACTGTAGGTAAGGGCCTTCAGGGTCTTTCGGGGATGGTCATGGAGAGCGGATTGGGGGCTGCGGGGTAAGGAGCAAGCCTAGGAGGCGAGTCACAAACACGGATTTGAGTCCTGGCTGTCCACGTATCCATCAGTTATTATTATATCGGTAGTGCTGCATGACAAAGCACCCCAGGACTCAGTGGCTTAAAAACAGCCATATTAGCTCTGGTGTGGCTCAGTGAATTGAGTGCCAGCCTGTGAACCAAAGGGTTGCTGGTTCGATTCCCAGTCAGGGCACATGCCTGGGTTGCAGGCCAGGTCCCCAGCAGGGGGCACGTGAGAGGTAACCACACATTGATGTTTCTCTCTTTCTCTTCCTCTCTTCTCCTCTTTCTAAAAATAAATAAATAAAACCTTTTAAAAAAAACCCAGCCATTGTTATGGTTCTCCTGTTGGCTGGGATGTTCTGGTCTGAGCTGGGTTTATCACAGTTCATTCACTCATGCGCCTGTGGGCAGCTGCAGATTGGGGGGCTTTGCTGATCTTGGCGAGGGGCACTCTCACATGTCTGGGGCCCAGCCAACATCAGCTGGGATGACGGGGCTTTCTTGGTTCCCCTCTGCATGGTCTCTTATCCTTCAGCCTAGATCCGTTCTCATGCCAGAGGAGAGAAGTCTGAGAGAGGCTGGAGCTGGCATGCAAGGTCTCTTGATGCTTTGGTTAGGAATTCAGGCACCATTTCTTCTACCGCATTCTTTTGGCCAGTCCATAGTCAAGAGGTAGACAAATAGACTCCACCTCTTGATGGGAGGAGCTACAAAATAACATGGGAAAGGATATGGTTTAGGAAAGAGAGAATTAAGGCATTCTTGTAGTCAACCTACCACCATCGTTGATTTTTAATCTCTCTCTGACATAGGGGAAGGCTTTTCCCTTCTCGTCTTCTTCACCTGTAGAGAGTTGACGGTAAAACTGCCTCCTGAAAGTATCAATGGGCCCTGGCCGGGGGCCCTGTTGGTTGGACCACTGTCCTGTACACAAAAAGGTTGCAGGTTCGATCCCCCGTCAGGGTAGATATCTAGGTTGTGGGTTCAATCCCTAGAAGGTCGTGTACGGGAGGCAACCGATTGATGTTTCTCTTTTAATGTTGTTCTTTTTCTGTCTGTCTGTCTCTCTCTAAAATCAGTAAACATATCCTCAGGTGAGGATTAAAAAAAGTATCCTTGGGCATTCGGTGTTGGTGATTAAAATGTGAGGACCTGGAAAGTGAGACAGAGGCCCATGGTCTTGGCCTTTTTATTTAGTTCCGAGACGCACTGGAGTCCACGGGACGCCCTTGGCGGTAGCCTCCGGGCCAAGAGAGGAGTCTGCCCTTATGCTCAGGGTTGCAGGGTCCATGGAAGAGTTCCAGGCAGGGTGTGCGTGCACGGCAGCGCAGCCTGGTGGGGCCGTGCTTGCCCTTTATTCCAAGGCAGTCACAGAGCATCCTAGGCTGTTGGAACCAGAGCGGGCCGTGCAGGTGTTTCCTCCTGGCCTCTTCCCTTTCTGCTGGTCAGAGAGGTGGCATCTCCGCCCACGGCCAGGCAGAGGCTGGTTAGTAACAGGAGAACTGATGGGAACCAAAAGCCACACAGTAAAGGCTCTCCACTCTCAGGTTCCCTCCTGGGTTCTCTGCCTCTCTTATGTTCATTTTCTGTTGTTTATTTCTGCTCCTATTCTCTCTTCATCTCCCCTTTTGTTTTCTTGTGGAACAAGCAAGAAATTCTCCATCCCTGGCTGGTGCAGGGCTTGCTCTCTGATTTATTTTCTCTTTCCTTTTACCACTGTAGGAAAAGAACAGCACAAAATGAAACGACCCTCTCCTTAACGCCTTCTCTTCTGGCTTTTGACTCCCTGCTTTCTCCTGCACCCCTTTCCTCTTCTCTCCTCCTCCACAGGCTGTGGCGACTGGGGGAACACGCCAGTGTAGGCCCAGAGTAGCCTTTGAGTAGATCTGGTAGGTTCCCGGTTTGTTGTAGTTACTGCATGGCCCAGCCAATGACCATTTTGTTTGCTCATAAGTCCCTGGGTCAGGGATTCGGACCAGGCCCAGTGGAGCGCTCGCCTCTGCTCTGAGATCGCCGGAGGCTCGGCCAGATGCGTGGAACAGCGAGTGGTGGCTGGGTGGCTCCCCTGGACCCAGATGTCTGGGGCCTTGATGGTGGCACTCGTCTGGGCTCTTCAGCGTGTTTTCCTCATGGAACCCCACGCAGCAAGCTCGGGCTTCCTCACAACACGGTGGTCTCGGCAGAGTCAGTCTCCGTAACTGGTGGCTGGCCGCCCCCTCAGGCAGAAAGTGCGAGAAGCTGCCGTGCCTCTCCAGGGTTAGGCCCAGAACCTGCAGAGCCTAGAGTCAAGAGGAAAGAGGCTCCCCGGAATGTGAGAGCGGCACGTGGGTGCCGGGAAGGGAGGCACGGGGGCGGGCCTCTCTGGAGACGAGACAGTCACGTTCATCACACACCTCACCCCACACGTCTCTGTCCTTTGTGTCTCTGTTCACAGACCTGACTGTCATCCTCATCGCCGTGGTGGGAGGCGGCGCCTTGCTGCTGTTTGTCCTCGGACTCATCATTTGCTTTGTGAAAAAGAAGTAGGTGGAATTTCTCAAACTGTCTTCAGCTGATCCGGTGCCTCCGTAGATCACAGAGAACTATCATTAATTATGGACCTTTTTTCTTGCTTCCCATTCTCCGCTCCCCCCCCCCCGCCGCCACGAAATTAGTGTGAGATCATATCGCCAGATGTGAGTTATGCGTGGTGGGGGTGGGGGAATCTCATACTTAGTGGGGGTAAAAACCCAAAACTCTAAACTATGTGTGTGGTGACATTTTCGCCTGCAGTTTCTATGCAGCTGCCTCAGCACAGGCCTCTGGGAACCACCTACAGGCCCCTCGTTGGCCTGTGAGCATCGCGGGGGCGGTCCTGGAAGGACAGTGGCCCCATGGGCCGCGGCAGATCAGGACTCAAAACCGGCTCCCTCTGTCGCCTTGAGGCACGAGCGCTACGGCCCCAGCTTGTTCCCTCTGGTTTCTTAAACAGTCTCAGGCGTGTTCATTGGACTTGACACAAGCTCCAGAGGAAGCCAGTTCCGTGGGCAAGAGGAGGGAAGGCCTAGGGAACTGAGCCAGTGCCTCCTCCCGCCCCCTCAGCGTGACAGCTACTGCTTCCTGAAAGGAAGGCGGCGACCTCTGTAGACGGAGTGCACGCTGCTACCGGATTTGACCAGTTCTGCTCATGTTTCTGATTAAAACCAGGAAGGAAGGGCAAATCGGTCTCCCCTAGCATGATTCGATATTCCAAAAAAAATTTTTTTTAAATTAACTGGGACCATGAACAAGCAACTGAAATGCCCGATCAACAGTGGCACTGCCTAGAAATGTCCCCACAGCAGAGGAAGGGCCTGCCCACCGGGGAGACCCAGGGCAAGGCCTCTTCTCTGTGAAATGGGGCGGCCCATAGGTCGCACAGGAGAGAGGGCTTTTCACAAAGCGACATGTCATTACTTCTCCCAGGAAACTTCCTTATTTGGGGTGCACAGTATGCCCCCCAGATCGGAGGCATGGCATTAACCCAGGACCCCAGATTTCTCACCAGGAGGGAACTGGGCAAAAGGAGGGTGCAGCACTTGCCCCCTTCTCTGCACAGCCCCAGTCCTGGCCGCGGGTCCCCAGCCCCGGCCTTGCGGTGGGGGAGGCCGCTGGCCCGCAGCCTTGCATAAGGAAGGCTCATCCGTCCCCATCGTGGTGTGGGAGGGTGGGCGGGTTCTGCAGCAAGCATGGGGGAAGGCAGCAACATTGAACGTGTGTGTTAGGCACGTATTTCTGAGCATCTCCTGGGCACTAGGAGCCGTGCCTGGGGCCAGGGCTACAACCATGCGCCAGACACAGGCTCTTCTTCTACTACCCAGGGGAGGAGGGACTAAAGAGTCAGGCAGGTAAAGCGGCCGTCCCAGGACAGCATGAGGAGAGCTTTGGTGGGGACCAGGAAGGGCAGCCATCACAGGCTCCAGGCTGGAGCCTTGGGAACCCACCATTCTGGCCAGTGTCTCAGTGTGACAAGCTAAATGTACTAGATTTATTTTTATCTCAGAAAAGTACAATTAGTGAGCCGCCAGCCTGCACATTATATGGCCCATTATGTTCTGTGAGATAATGTCCCTCCCTTTGAATCAGCAGACAGCCAAAAAGCCAGCACCCCCCGCTTTTGGTCCATGGAGGTGGAGGGCAAAGCTTTGTTTTTCACAGCGGAGAGTGCCGGTGCCCGTCCACGCCCAAGTACCAGGAACACCACAAACCAAAGGTTAATGGTGTCACTCAGGAGGCACTCCAGCCTGAATTTTGTCTTTTTTTTTTTTCCTCTCTCATTTTGTTTCCCTTGTTGGAAGTTGCTGCTGAAGGGACTGGATCCCCCTGCTAATGCTGGGTTCTGCTGTCCCCAACTCCAGCTTAAAACAAAGAAACAACCTGCCATCCTGAATCTTGTATGTTGTTTAGAATTTAAATGGTCAGATTCTAGAGCTTTTTACCCATCCAAGAGAGGGATGGAGCATTAGCTGTGGGAAAAGTACTGAGCGTGGCAGGTTGGCCCAGGCATTACCGTGCCCGGCGTATCCGGGCTGGGCCACCACCCCTTTCTAGTAGGAAAGAGGGGTTGTCAGATGTCCCCAACATCAAATTCTGTGTGGCTATTGAAGCGAATTCAAGCACAGGTATTGTTAAAAGTACTATCTCTAAACCTCTCTCTATCTCCTGTTTTCACCTTGACAACTAGAGACAGAAGCTGGGCCCTTTTAAATACTCGCTGAGCACAATAGTTCAGGTTCAAATGCCAAGTGATTTGTCGGGGACGTGCGGTCAGAACCTTGAGGGATCTGAGGCCCAGCAGGGATGGACAGTGGGACGTGTCTAAGGTCACTGTCTCCCTGACTTCTGCCTGTTCCCTCTCTCTCGGTAGGAAAAAGAAGAAGAACAAGGGCCCGGCCGTAGGTATCTACAATGGAAACATCAACACCCAGATGCCGATGCAGCCGCAGAAGTTTCCGAAGGTGCAGAAGGACATGGACTCCCACGTGTATGCAGTCATCGAAGACACCATGGTGTACGGGCATCTGCTGCAGGATTCCAACGGGTCCTTCGTCCAGCCCGAGGTGGACACCTATCGGCCCTTCGAGGGCCACGTGGGGGACTGCCCTCCCTCCCCGCCCCCCACATGCTCCAGGGTCCCGACTGTAAAGCTGACCCCTGAGGAGCCATCCCCTGGCTTCAGTCCAGAGTCCGAGAGCGAACCGTACACCTTCTCCCACCCCAGCAAGGGGAACGGAAGCAATGGGAACACAGACATTCCCTTGCTGGACGCCCACGATCCAGAGGGGACGGAGGAATAACTTGGACTCATCCCCAAGACTTTAAATGACGCAGGGCATTGAGACGCCCTGCAGGGTGTCCACCAGCAATCCTAACGGAGAAGAATCCTAGGGAAGGAACAGCAGGAGGTTTTCCTGGACACCACCTACTTCACACTTCCAAGTGGACTCGTTCTGATGATGAGGCGCCGAAAATGATGAGTTCTGGTCTTGGTACAGTTATCACTGCTCACGTCTTTCTAAACTCAGGTTGGGTTGTCAACCAGGCCATCATGAGCGAGAAGTGCGAGTCACCCCGTACAGGGTTGCGGCAAGCCCTGGGTTTGGGTTTGGATCTCTTTGGGGGGCCACACGTTTGCCTCCTACAGCTTCCTTCCACTGCAGAAGAGGCTACAACATGATCCAGCCCGCAGGTGTGCTTTGTTTAGCCGACAGAATCTTTAAAGAATTGATTGCTAACATTTAAAATGATCAAGTGTTTACATCACAATCCAGACCAGAAGATCTGGCCAGGCTGGGGCTCACATTCTCACCCAGCAACAACCAGCTGCATTGAGAAGCCACGCCACCTTCAGCTGGGGCATCTGGTCTACCAACTGCTCACAGTCCCTCCCCTCCCCCCACTCTCCCTGCCACCTCCCACAGGGAGGCTTAGTGTCTGTTGCTGTTGATCAGTTGCCCCGGAGTGTTGCTTTTCTCACAAGGAAATGAAAAGGTTGGGACCCGTATTGCCTATCAAATGAGAAGACAGGCCTCAAGGCTTGGTATGCGCTTCAGGAAGTTTTCTTACACACAGCCCACACCCCTCATTTATTGTAATTACCCACCCAGCTCCTGTGAGTGTTTGTTTGCCTTCTTGGGCCCCGCTTTCACCCGGGAGGAGACAGATTGTGTGATGGCTTGTCAGCACAGTCCAAAGTTCAATATTTCTGTGGCAAAGCCTCCTCTGAAATATAAACGCGTTCATTCAGCTCGGCGAATTCACCTTGGAAACTCACCGTCTGGACTTGTTCGTGGGCTCCTTCGCCTTCATGAAAAGGAGTTTTGCAGTCTCCTCGGGGGTGTATGTTCTAAGGCCCGTGGAACTCTCCCCAGCAGGAAGTTTGTTGTTTTGAGTTTTCATCATCATGCCTTTGGGGCTGCTGGGGCGCCTTCCCTTTCTCCAAGGCTGGCTCCCGCCCGGCGCCCCTGCCTCCTGGCCTCTTCTGAGGGTCACTGGCTGGGCGCTCTGCCTTCTGCCCCGAAGGGTGGCTGGCCATCTTTGGCATGGCTGTCTGTCATCGCACACATCCCCTTTAATGAACGACAAGGGTACCATGGGGTCATTTTCTATTAACCGAGAGCTCAAAACTGCAGGCCGCCTTGCCGTCTTCCCGAGACCTCAGGTGTTCTGAGATGTGCCTCCCGGGAGCAGCCAGCCCGACGTACTCATGGCTCTCGAAAACTCAGACCCCACTTCGGTAAACTGTCTCGGGGTCGCTGGAAACCAGTCAGGCACATTTGTTGAAGCCTCCACACGGGGGCTGTTGCCACCTGGGCTGCCCTCACGCCCACCTGCCACGGCTCTGAGGACCCGCTCAGGCAGACCCCTTCTCCAATGCTGCGGTCACCTTGCATGGGAGGGGCGAGTGCCAAGGAAGAGAAGAGGGGGAAAGCATAGGTCCACGGGGCATAACCTTGGTCACCGGTAGCACACTGGTGTGTGCGGATCTGCAATGCATCACTGGAAATAATTTATTTGTTGTAGATACTTTTTTAGGTACCGTTTTATTTCCTATGCTTTTTAAAATAAACATGTACCAAAAAAAAAAAGGGGGCATCAGGTTGTTTACATGCTTTGGCTGCTTGTCTGTGGTTCAGCTGAGGCCCCAAATTTCTCGGGGGTTCCCTGTGACACTCGCCACATGGGCTCAGCACAGGCTGCCCCCTCTGTGTCCGCGGTGCAGGAGGCTGCGCTGGGGGCTGCCAGCGGGTCATTCAGAGGCCAGAGCGTGTCCTGTTCTTGTTGAGGGGACGTGAACCCCCCTCTGTGTGGCCTCCCCTAGTACCTGGCCCCCACAGAGACCTGCGTATGCCCGTGCCTGACCGCAGCTGAGCTCTAAGCCAGTGCCGGTTGGCAGCCACTGGAACAGAAGCCAAAGGAGGGTGGCGGAGAGGGGAGCTCCGGACGTGCTCGCCATGCACTCGGAGAAGAGAACGGATGTTGCTGCAAAACAAACCACCCCGCATTTGAGCGACTTTAAACAATGGTTATTTCGCTCACAAATCTAAGGTGAGCATGGCACAGCAGAGGTGAGAGCTGAGCCTCCTCGTCACTTGGACCCCTCTAAGGGCTTTTTGGGGCTTCCTCGCAACATGGTGGCTGGGTTCCCAGAGTCAGGAAGTCAGGGCTGCCAGTCTTTAGTCTACGGGTGGTGCGTCAGTCAGAGCCCACCCAGGTTTAAGGGGAGGGAGCAAAGCCCCCACATCCCAATGGGAGAGGGGGTTAGAGAATGTACAGGCATCTTTTATACGGCACAGCAGGGCTGGGCAGGTCAGAGCCCAGTGCCCATGCCCTTGGAGAACACTGACCACGTCCACATCTGGGCCGCATCCCACCTCTGACTGCCCCTTGTCCTGGATCCTGTTCTTGGACCCAAAGCTTCAGTTTTTGGACTTCTGGCCTTTCATCTCTGCACACTGCCCCACGGGGTTCCAACCGTGTCCTCTGTTGTGTGGTGATAACGCTGTAAATCCTAGCTGGACCCTCCCTGGGCGCCTGCCACACATTTCGCTGCCTGGTGGCTTTCTCTGCTCATACATCTCCATTCGCCTCAACCCGATTACTCCAGAGGTAAATCCATCCTCTCATCTCTTGCCCCAAATCTTCTCCCTCTTTCATGTGAGTTCATTTCCGACTCCGCCCCTAATCAGCTGTGTGCCCTTGAGTTAGGTCCTTTGTTTTCAGATGCCTACACAAGATTAAATCTTCCAAGGTGGCTTTCATCTCTAAAAGGCTTTGATGCCTCCAGTCACCCAGGCCCACAATGCAGGACCCAGCCTTTGGCTCATCCCTGTCACTGGCCCCGAGGGCTTTCATTCTCCGACCCACCCTCCCCCCTCCTTACACCACTCATCACGTGACTCCCTTGCGCTGAAATCTGTGCCTCTGAGATGGGTCCCTCAGAACAAAGTCCTTAATCTCCTGCCGAGCTATGGCACCTCCTGTTTACTGCCTGGTGCTCCTTACCTCTCCGGACCTCTCCTGCCACCCAATCCCTGGCCTCAGAGCTCCTTCCCAATGCCACTTCAATCTTCAGGGCTCATCAAGGACACTCCTGCCCGCTTACTTGCTCAGGCCCCAGTTCTGAACAACATCTCATTCAAAAGCTGCGTTCCTTCCCTCCCTGGGAAAATCCTACCAGCACTTCAGAGTCCATCACAAGTCCACTTTCTCCAGAAGCCCTTCAGCCCCACCGAGCTCTGCCTCTAAAGGCCAATGGTCCTTCCAATGTCTAACACTGCACTTCGGGACATGCGTTTCAAGACTTAGAAATTTGAACTTGCAAGTCTTCGCCTAACAAGATAATATTGTTTTGTTACTCAAACAGCTCGGGAGTCCTGGGAGCACGGAGACACTTCTCAATTCAGATTCCGCCTTCTGCAGAAAGGCAGAAGGTGGACACCATGGTTCCTGGGAGTAGTAGCAGGGCTCAGATCTATGAATACAACTTGCTTCTATCTCCATTGTCTGCAGGGCCAACCTGAGCCTCCTGGAAAGAGCGCCACCTGGTGGCGGGCACTTGAGATGGGAGAGCTCTTTACATTTCTCACTGGCTCAGCTGGTGCACACGGTGGAGGTGGTGGCTTCAGGAGGGATGCTGGGGTGAAGATTTACCCTCTCCCGTCTCAGGCTTCCCTGATAGGCCACTGCCTGGGGGACACTTGCTGGCTTGCCGCGAGGGAGGGCGTGGCTGGGGCCCTGGAACCGGGTGCTGAAATTCAAGCCCTAGCTTCCCTGCTGTGGGAACTCAGGCAAGTTCCCGAATGTCTCTATGCCTCAGTTTCTCATCTGTAAAAGGGAGCTCAAAGGATCTGCTTCCCTGTGTTCTTTGTAAAGAATAAAGGAGATTCTGCATTATCTGAGTTGGGATCCCCCAGAGCAGCTCTTCAGAGGTTCCGATGTAAGTAGTTTATTTGGGAGGTGATCTCAGGAAACACCCCTTGAGGAGAGGGACATGAGACAGGAGGGAAAGAGGACAGCAGGAGTGACTTTCCCAGCAAGTGTGCTGCCACCGGGGGCCCGGACTCAGTCTCTTATTTGTTACCTGGCTGGGGTGTTGGAGCTGGGATATTTCTCCACCAATTCCCATCAGCCCCCCAGGCTCTCTTCATTGCTCAGCACTTCCGGCTTATTTGGTGCCTGGGCATCGTGAGCTAAGATAGATTCCGAAATGATGGCATTTGGAAGGTGGGCCAACACGCACAGACGTTGTCAGTGGAGAGGGGCTATGGGTAGGGAAATATCAAAATCTTCCCAAAGTTCTCAGGACAGAGTCGGATGCTAGTAACATCTCAATAAACAGCGTTCCAATCAAACCCACCCGTCCCCTCTCCACCACAGTGCGGCATGGCTGATAAACCAGAAGGAGGTACAGACAGGCTGCGTGCTGCGGGGAGTGCTGGGTGACAACAGCTGTACAGCAGGTGTTTGATGTCCCCCACTTCATAGGTGACAAAGCGTATGCTCCTGCAGTGTGGAGCCTCGTCATGGGCGTCATGGGCGTGGGTCCCCTCACCTCCACGCCTGGGGTGGTCTCCCAGGGGGCAGGGGCTCCTATTCCCGCCTGTGCAGGGATTGTAACGAGTTTTCATCCTCTGCTTGAATTAAGACTCTCTCCCTCTCTCTCTCTCTCTCTCTCTCTCAGCCCAACCATGACTATGCAGAAATTTGTTTCCTTCTGTAAAATGTCAAGGCTGCATCTTTTTTGTCCTGCCCTGGGTGTGGGCACCCCAATGAACTACATCCAAGCCTGAAGCTG